AGATAGATAGATAGATAGATAGATAGATAGATAGATAGATAGATAGAGAGAGAGAGATAGATAGATAGATAGATAGGTAGATAGATAGATAGATAGAAAGAGAGATTAGATTAGATTAGATAGAGATAGGATAGGGATAGGGATAGGGATAGAGATAGAGATAGAGATAGAGATAGATAGAACAAATAGGGAGATAGGGAGATAGAGAGAGAGAGAGTAGAGAGAGAGAGAGAGTAGTAGAGAGAGAGAGAGGAGAGAGAGAGAGAGTTGGGAGCAAATCAAACAAAAGTTTACCTGCCTGGATGTGCGCTCCACCGAACCTACTGATTCTGGATGTATGTATCCATAGCATGAACAAGTACACAATTAGGTAAGAGGATCTGAAATGACTGAGTCCCTAGCGCAGCAGTGCCACAGGGCAACTGCCTCACGGGGCGCTGAACTTGGGGAAAAGGCTGCGAAGCGAGGTCCAAATTTGACAGAAGGCAAACGCTCGCTGGGCGACACACGCCAGAAGAAAGAAGATTGGCCATCTTCAAAAGCCTCTTCACTGCACGTTGAAGGAAAACACGTTTCATTGTGACTTGTTCTTCGGCATGCTCCTCCAATGTCTCCTGTCGATTTCTGTCAGTTCTTAGGTTCTGACCTTTGGTGAGTGGTACACTTTTGCACTCTCTAAGTGGTTTGAAGCCAACACTGCGACAAGGTACAGTGAACCATGCAGCAAGGCGAAAGTGGGAAGGAACTAACATCAAGCCTTCATTGATGTTCTCAGTAAAAGGAAGTAAAAGGATGATCAATGTGCACCAGAAGCTCCAACCAACGCACAGCCGGGGAGGTTCAGCGCACAAGTTGTTGAGGAACTTCAGGAACTCGTCCGGGTTCTCTGTGGCAAAGCTCTTGAGAGCTTTCTTGTGCGCCTGTCAGTACTGCGAGGGGCCGAGTGTGGCATGGGCACCAACACCAGCAGGAAGGATTGTCAGCAAAAACATGGACCTGTGACTGTGACATGTCCAAGAATCAACAAACGCACGTTTGCAGAAAAGATTCAAAAGCAACCTAACAAACGCCCTGGACTGAAGCAATCCTTCTTTGCTGAAGAGGTTTGTAGGGCATCCAAACTGGAATCTCCAAGAAAGTCTGCTTGGCTGGCCTCCAGTGGCAGCACCCGTTCAAAGAGCTCCTGGAGATGGACAGAAAGGCAACACAAAAGCGCGGCATATTACATTTGTATGTCTAGATCTTCTGGCACGAAAGCAAGGAACAATATTATTTACAGATATTGCTATTCTTTCAACAGTCTGGCAGAGCTGTTCTGAAGCGAAGAATGTGAGGGAGGGGCTTCTGATCAATGTGATTGCTGCAAAATCTTCCCATGCAACAAAGCTTTCAACTTGTCGGTCCATGATCGGAATTCGCAGTTGGTACTTCAGCTGCATCCGGATGTCATAAAACCTTGGAAAGTGAACTGCCTTTGCGGGAAAGAAAAGGCATGGAAATAACAGCAGGGTTCCTTGTTTGTGTGTATCTTGATATCCCTGTTCGAGAAACAAGTGTTTTCAGGATGTTCTTCAAATTGCTTGTTGACCGAAACTAATCCGAAGAGTGAAGAGATGTGAAGAGTGTCTCCAAATACATGTTTCACAGGCGCAGTAATGTGTTGTCACATTCTCGCTAAGCGAATGGACGACTGCTTGGTCTTTTCCACAGCGGTGAAGACTCGAATGCACCTTGCTGGCCAATGATGAGGTCTGTACTCTTTTTGTTTTGCCCACTTAATTAAGGAACTAGTAAGCTGGACTAAGTTAGCTTCGTAGGACGCAGGATAGCTCAGGCTTTAAGGAAACTCCACCGCCTGAGGGCGGGGTGAAGCTTCCTTGAAGAAGCGCTCGGATTGCTGATTTGGTTCCTAGACTTTTAGGGAAACTACTTTAACACAGTCGTGACAAAATGCTTTGGCTTTTGGCTTTTTAGAGGGCTGTGACGGTAGCTCTAGGTCTCTGCAAGACTCGAAGTGACGGTATCAGTGGGTGAAAACACAATATGGACTTGGGTAAAGACTTGATATCACCCTCTAGTCAGACCTAGAGGCTTAGAGTGAGCAGCTGAATCACCAAGACTTGGACCCTGGGACAATGTCATTCGCCAAGACTGGCGAGTTTTCCACCAGGTGGCGATAGTTTGAGTTCCTGTCAACAAATTAACAAGGAAGTATAAAGAGCCATTCATCCTACACATGTTGCAAGATCCACATGAAATGCCGTTGGGATGTATCTGGTTCTGCTAAGTCCTCCTCATGAAAAGGACTAGAGTAACTACACAAAGCATTCTCTACAAGGATCGAAACATGTTCAGCGTTCTGAGACAACATGTCAGAGCTACGCGGTCAGACCTTTCAAAAGGGTCGCTGCCTGCATACACACTTCAGAAGCCCTTACCAAGTTCAACTGTACCGAAAGCACGTGTCCCTCTTCGAGAAACAAGCACAGGCAAGGACACTGGATGATTGGATGTCTCTTGCAAGGGAAAATATACTTTATATACATATATATATATATTTAAAAATGTATGTCGTTTTGTCAAGGACGACGGACCTTTCCACGGAGGTTGGGATTCTTCACATGCTGGCCATTGCCAAGGATGAAGGTGACCTCTTTTGGCCAACAAGCTTTGAGGCAAAGATGTTGACTGGACTTAAGCATTTCAGCCAGAAGCTTCCAAGTGCAACCTCTCCCGAGCTTGCAAGCCCCGCACCAATAGCAGCAAAAGCTGCGCGTCCAGATGCAGGAATAACTGGCTTGTGAACGTGGAGTCGGTTTGTTTAAAGGATTCAAAACAGCACGATGAAAGGGTATGGCATGACCGTCAACACCATGCAAAAAGGATCAAAAAGGACTGTTTGTTTGCCATCGGCCTCTGATGGACCTTTCCCTGGCGGCTGAATGCTCGTCACAATCTCCAAGACCTGGCGGGCGTGAGAACAAAGAACCTCAAGAACCTCTATGCCTCTATGCTATGACTCTATTGCTGGAAAACGAACACAGTGTTGGAGAGACCATTCTGTTTTTGCTTCCAATTTGTTTGAGGCCATTGCTATTAGGTTGGAGGCCATCGCTGTTAGGTTGGAGGCCATTCCTATTGGGCTCCTTTTGTTGTTTGCTTGAGTTACCATCGATTCACTGCACATCGTTTGAAGAACGCTGGTACGGTATATGCTAGTTTGCAGTAGCACTCGCTCGTCAGTACACCTGCAGCCCTGCGAACACAAATGACAGACCTCTACGATGTCCTCCAGGATGCAGGACGGTAGAACTAACCATTGAGGAGACACCTGTGGACATCAAGAAAAAATGGTAGGAAAAACAATGAAAACGTGTTTGTTTAAAAGCGAATTTCTCAAAAGCAACCATACGGTTGCTTCACAGCCGACTAAAAATCCCGCCCCAAACCTCCTCTGTTAGCACAGAGCCGAGAACTTTGCCGGCTGCAAATTCTGCTGCCTGGGCTCCAATGCTCCAACTTCTGGCACGAGGTCTTTGGCTCTTGCGACTCAAGAGTGCTTTGGAATCAGGCTTTCTCAGGAAAGGCCGCTCCCAAGCAAAAGGCCATGACCTCACATTCTGGACATGCTGGCACACGCACTACCGAGAGTATCCGCCACGTTGACTGGCCATGCGCTTCTTGAGCTGTCAACCAAGTTCAGGAAGGTCCCCAAGTCACCTGCATAACAATCATGAGAAGAATTTTGAACATCGTCCTGATTATATACAACAGCCAACCCTGCGACTCTGCCTAGGAAGGCGCTGCTGCCAAGGATTGCTTCATATACCAAGTGCTCGCCCAGTGCAGTCTGCCATAGTTCAGGAGGTTGGTTGACGGTTATAAACGCAAATTTATACCTATATATATATATATGTATGTATCATATAGCAGTACAAAGGGAAACCTAGGGAGTGGAATGTCTCGAATGTCTAATGATAGTTCAATGTCAATACCAATATGCAACTATTGAGTACCGGTCCAAAGACAGGTATTCACTGTTTTCCAGGACCGTCGCACGGCCTCCATCACGGCCGGATTTTTCTGCTGAAAGAAACCAGCTGCTGCGACCATGCAAAGGTTTTCCTGAAGGTGAGGTTTTCTAGTAACTAAAAAAAATTTTCGGAATCGTTTCACCTGCAATAATACGTTTTCTAGTAACTACAGTAGCATCTGTTATTTGTTTAGCGAAGTCGGGACACATCCCTGTCCTTCATCACAGGCACGCAAAGCACGTGGAAGGCCTGGGGTCAAGTGGCCGTTTGCAATTAAAGAAAGTGCTGTCCACATGCAATCAAGCAACTCGTATCGCCAGCCAAAAGATTTGAGCTGGAAACCTTGGAGAGAAACTCTTGTCTGTGCGTGAATGTGTGTGTGTGTGTGTCGCCCCCTGGTCAAAGGGTTTCCTTTCTTGACCTCCACTGCCATTTGTTTCACTAGCAGGGGGTGCAAGCAGCCCATCCAGTCTTGCACCAACGAAGACACTGGATGCGTGCTGGTGATATCGATTTGGGACGCCAAATCGACGTACCTGCAGAGTTCTTCACACGCTGTTACTCCACTCTTCCACGGTTTGATTCCATGGTCCTTGCACGATAGACCCCAAAACCTTTTCCCACCGCAGACTTGCAGCAGACTTGCAGCCACACTGACTGTCAGAGTGCAAACATTGTTCAACCATACAGTTCTTGCCGACTTTTTCACCATGCCGTTCCATCACCTTCCTTCCCAACGTGGGAATTGAGATACCTGAATACAATTGTCAGAGTGTGTTTCGCTCAGCCGTCCCACTCGGGTGCTGAGTGTGATCCCCGTCATTGGGGCGCTGTTTCTTTGGGAAAGCATTCACTGAACTTACCACCGCTCACAGGAACTTCACTGGAACTCACCTACACTCCCACAGAATCAACCGCTACCATGGCCGCCGGGCCTTACCACGGGACCTGACCGTTTCAACATGCATCGTTTTTGTGCAAGATCTCAAGATCTCAATGCATTTTTCCGCCTGTTGTCTGCATGAGCGCTCAAGCGATCCGACTTGACTTTTAAACTTTTTAATTCGATATGCATGAACACACCAACACTTACTACACTCTACAGGCAAGACAACTCTCACAGCGCTGAAGTTGCTGCCGCCGAGCTAGTGAGGCTCTATGTCCAAGAAGGACACAACCACCAAGCCTGCCACCGGTTTTTGAAAAAGCGCCGACGACGGCGACCTGTGTGTGTGTGTCGCCCCCTGGTCAAAGGGTTTCCTTTCTTGACCTCCACTGCCATTTGTTTCACTAGCAGGGGGCGCAAGCAGCCCATCCAGTCTTGCACCAACGAAGACACTGGATGCGTGCTGGTGATATCGATTTGGGACGCCAAATCGACGTACCTGCAGAGTTCTTCACACGCTGTTACTCCACTCTTCCACGGTTTGATTCCATGGTCCTTGCGCGATAGACCCCAAAACCTTTTCCCACCGCAGACTTGCAGCAGACTTGCAGCCACACTGACTGTCAGAGTGCAAACATTGTTCAACCATACAGTTCTTGCCGACTTTTTCACCATGCCGTTCCATCACCTTCCTTCCCAACGTGGGAATTGAGATACCTGAATACAATTGTCAGAGTGTGTAACCCGTGGAGTCACAGGAATCCCTTCAGGTTTGTTTTTCCTGTTTTGGTACTTGCAATTTTAAGCAAGGGCACACGCCATCCATGACCTACCGTGTGCAACGAAGCTACGGTCATGGATGGGATGGGAAGGCCGATCACCTTCCTGTACCTGCTTTGGTGCAATGCTCTAATCTTCCATAAAGGGCTAGTGCACTCCGCAGACAAAAGCGGCCGCCGTCACTTCGACCTGTTCGTTGTCTCGTGGAGTTGGACTTTTGGCCTTTATCTAAAAGTGCTCAGGCCCCCCTTTCTCGACTTCTCGGGATTATGGTCACTTAGGTTGCTGTGTGGCATGTGGCATTCTGTTCAGCACGCATTTCCACAAGTGTGTCTGCCCCCTGTGGACCCGTCGAACGGGCGTTGTTCCAACGTATCCCCTGCTCGGATACAGAGCAGCTCGCAGCGCGCGTAAGCGGCTTAAGCCAAAGTTACTTGCCAAGACTTGACGGGTTATTGAGAACAAGTAGGCAGTCCTCAGACAAGCCTTGAGGTGACCGCAGCAGTCTCAAGCTGCCCGCCATTTTGGCATGGCACCAGGTGACCAGGGCGGTCAAAGTTTTTTAACGTCCATTGGGACCTGTCGTGTGCGTCAACTCCTGTTCCACAGGAATTCGGTCACAGTCGTACAGTTTAGCAGGGGGATGCCCCACACCTGAAGAGAGGG